AGCGGCTCCCAAGGCGGAGGTCCCTGGTGGGCCCAAGCCTAAGCCGCCACCACTGTCCCGAGGTCCGACTGCCGCCCAGCTTAGGGCAAAAGTTCCGAGGACGGAGGCGGTGGTGATTGGACCACTCAAGGAGGGGCAACGGTACGCCACGGTCATAAAGACCGCGATGGCTGCCGTTGATCTCAACGCCCTTGGGGTCCAATTAGCGGGCACCAGGCGGACCCGTACGGGAGCCGTCCTGCTGGAGGTCCGGGGATCGGGCGCCCAGGCTGACAGCTTAGCTGACAGCCTGAAGGGCGCCCTGAAGGAGCATGACGTTCGCGTCCACCGTCCGGTGATGACAGTGCCCGTCATGCTCCTGGACGTGGAGGAATGGACGGAGGAGGGCGATGTGCAGAGAGCACTGCTGGACGCCCTCCGCCGTCCGGAGGACAAGTCGCCGCCGGAAATCGGACCCGTCGTGGTCCGAGAGAACTCCGGCGGCAAAGGGCGATACGCCAGGGTGGAGGTTCCGGCAAGGCTGGCCCCTCGCCTCGCAGGTCTCGCTCGTATCCGTGTGGGATGGGTCACCTGTAGGCTGAGGATCCTTGGCGACAAGGGTCCGAGGTGCTACAGGTGCCTGGAGCACGGGCACGTGGCTCAGACCTGCAAGGGACCGGACAGGTCCAAGGGGTGCTTCTCCTGTAAAAAGGAGGGGCACCAGGCCAAGGACTGTCCGGGTGCGGGGCCGGCCTCAAAGGCCACGAAGACAAAGGGGGGGCCTGGAAAGAAGGCTCCCCCCGTGAAGAAGAAAGGGGGAAAGGCCGAGGGATCTCCCGGAGCGCAGCCCGCTAGTGGATGAGATTCCTTCAAACGAATCTCAACCACTGTCGGGCCGCTCAGGATCTGGTCCGGCGGGCGGCGTACGAGATGGGCACCGACGTGTGCATCGTCTCGGACCCGCATGCCGGATCGGTCCGGGACTCTGCCGGCTGGTTATTGGACCGGTCCGGCAGAGCGGCGATCGGTGTGATGGACCGCGGCCTGACGGTCGCGGACATCGAGTCGGGCGACGGTTACGTAGTGGCGAGGATAGACGGCATTGACGTCTTGAGCTGCTACGCGCCGCCCAGCTTGCCGATCGCCGGACTCCTCGAGTCCGTGTCCTCCTGCCTACGGGCGAGGAGACTCAGGCGGCCGCGCGACGGCCGCGGGGAGCTCGTGGCCGGGGACTTCAACGCTCACTCCCCGGTCTGGGGGTCGGCGGACACGAATCAGCGTGGCGAAGAACTGTTGGACCTGATGTCGGCCCTCGGGCTGGTATCGGCCAACAGGGGATCCACCCCGACGTTCGAGGGTCACTCCTCGAGCTCGGTGGTGGACGTCACGCTGGTGTCTCCGTCGCTGCACCCGCACGTGACCGGCTGGTCGGTTCTCCCGTACAGGGAAAACCTCAGCGACCACCGGTACATCGTGTACGAGTGCGGCGATGGTGGCCGTCCCCCTCGAGCCGTGCCCCGCGTGCCGTCTCGCGGTGGGCGAGTGGGCTGGCGAGTCGGACCGGCCACGGACGTCGACGCTTTTGAGACGGGCTTACTGCTCGCTCAATGGTCGGCGCCCGCGGTACCGGACCGGCGCGTCTCCGCGAGCGAAGCGGCGGAAGAGTTGGACCGGAGGGTGGTCGCAGCTTGCGACTTCGCCCTCCCGGCCAAACGACCGCCGTCGACTCGCGGACCGCCAGTCCACTGGTGGAACGCCGAGGTGGCGGTCAGGCGTGAGGAGTGCGTCAGGGTCAGGAGGACTATGACGCGCTCCAACCGTTGGCCGCGGGACCCGGAATCCCCGGACCCGAGGGAGGCGCTGAGGTCGGCCCGCAAAGAGCTGAAGCTCGCCATCAGGCGGGCCAAAGCGAAGTGCTGGGCCGAACTCGTGAAGTCGGTGGACCACGACCCGTGGGGGAAACCCTACCGGGTCGTTATGCGGAAGCTCCGCGGTTCACCGGCTTCCGGTCAGCTGGAGGCGGAAGTGCTGGAAAGGGCGGTAGACACGCTCTTTCCGACACACCCGCCTCTGCCTCCCCCTGCGTTCGGGGACGACGTGTCGGTGGAGGAATTCACCACCCAGGAGGTGGCCGACGCGGTGGCGCGCGTACGGGGCCGGAACACAGCTCCCGGCCCTGACGCGATTCCAAACCGGGTGTGGGGGTTGGTAAACGACCTCGCCCCGGACTGGATACGCGCCGTCGCGAACCGCTGCCTCTCGGAGGGTGAATTCCCCACGAAGTGGAAGAAGGCCAGGCTGGTGCTTCTGAGAAAGGGTGACAAGCCCGAGGGTCTCCCCTCGTCGTACCGACCGCTTTGCATGTTGGACGACTTGGGGAAAATCCTCGAGCGGCTGCTCGTCACCCGGATCGAAGCCCACCTGGCCGACGTCGGCGGACTGGCCGAGGGCCAGTATGGTTTCAGGAGGGGGAGGTCGACGGACGATGCGGCCTCCCTCTTCAGGGACTTGGCCCTCAGGGCCAAAACTGAGCAGGGCTTCGGGTTGGCGGTGAGCCTGGACATCCGAAACGCGTTCAACTCCGTGCGATGGTCACACATCCTCGGAGCGCTGGACGCGTTTCGGGTGCCTCCTTACCTCGGGCGGATGATCCGGTCGTACTTTAGCGATCGGGTCATCTCTTACGAGAGCGCCGCGGGCCCGAGAATCCGACCTGTTACGGGAGGCGTCCCGCAAGGGTCAGTTCTCGGGCCTTTGCTGTGGAACATCGCGTACGACGCGGTGTTCCGCGTTCCGCTACCACCGCACGTGCGTGTCGTCTGCTACGCGGACGACACGCTGGTGGTGGCGGAAGGCGCCTCGTCCGAGGAGGCTGGATCCCGGGCAAACTGCGCGCTCAGAGCAGTCTCCGCCTGGATCCAGCAGGAGGGGAGTGGACTTAGCCTCGCCCTGGACAAGACCGAAGCGGTCTTGTTCACGGGCAGGTACAAGTTCACTCCTCCACGGCTCGCCGTGCTGGGGGTGGAGATCCCGCTTAAGGACTCCATGACTTATCTGGGCCTCGTCATAGACAAACGTCTAAAGTTCGGGCCGCACATTACTCGTGCGGCCCAACGGGCCCAGAAAGTCATGAATTGCCTGGCGGGAATCATGCCCAATCTGGGAGGGCCGAGAGAGATGCGGCGCAGACTTTTAGTCAGCGTCGTACACTCGGTCCTCCTGTACGGGTCCCCGGTTTGGGCGGATACTCTTGAGTATTCGTCCAAAAACCGTGAAGCCCTGCTCAGGGTGCAGAGGCGGGCGGCGATCCGGACTGTTTCGGCGTACCGAACGGTGTCCGGAGTGGCGGCGGGTATCCTGTCGTCACTGCCGCCCGCCGACCTGCTCGCCGAGGAACGCGCCGCCGGGCATGAGCTCCGCCGAGAGCGAAACCGGTCCCTCGAACCCGAGGACCGGCTAGCGCTCAGGCGGATGACCATGTTCCGGTGGCGGACTCGCCTCTCGGAGGAAACGAGAGGCGAGTGGACCAGGTCCCTCATAGGACCCGATCGGCTGGACAGGTGGGTGGACCGGACTCACGGTGAGATGACTTATCGTCTCACCCAAGTGATGTCCGGCCACGGCTGCTTTAACGAGTACTTACACCGTATTCGTAAAGCAGCCGCGCCGACGTGCGACCACTGTTCGGATCGCCCGGGAGAGGCTGATAGCGCGTTGCACACCCTCTTCCGGTGCGAGGCGTGGGCCCAGGAACGGGACTCTTTGGAGTCTCAACTAGGGTCCACGTTCCGAGTCGGGTCCATGGTGGACCTGATGTTGAGGAGCCGGGAGGCGTGGAGGCTCGTCCAGGTGTTCGCCGAATCCATCTTGAAAAAGAAGGAGGAAGCTGAACGCCTGAGACAGAGGCAGCCGCGCCGCCCGGTACAGGAGGACCTAAGGCGCTGGTTTAGGCCGGCGCCTTAGGTACTAGTGTTTATATGTTTTTTTGTTTATGTGAGTTATTTTTGCCCCTTCGCTTTCAACGGAGGAGGCCACACCACGTTGTGAATCAGCTCTTGATTAATTTCGGGCTGATTCACAACGTGGTGGTGTGAATTTTAGAGACGGCGTGGGCCGCCCTGAAGTAATACCTCACGGTAGTTCCAGGGCGGTCCACAGTTGCGCCGGTCGGTTTAAAAAAAAAAAAAAAAAAAAAAAAGGGTAATATTTGACGATTCTCACGTTGTAATATATTTATTTTTAAAATAATTCCTAAAATACTTAAATATTTCAGATATACATTGTATGAAGTTACGATGTTACAAAATTCTGTGTTATGTGCCGGACTAATTAACAATATCATCAAAATACGACATATATGTTTTTATGTAATATTTAAGTCATGATTACCAAGAAATAACCAATACAATGATAGTAATAAAACAGTATCAAAAGGCTGTGCGATATTTGAGATTACCATAAAAAAAGAGTCGGAATCTGTCAACTACATAAAGTCAAAAGGCTACTTATTATGATTATTATGTAAAGTAGAATAGAATATAATAGCAACTTTTTACACTTAACCAATAGTTTTACAATTCATTAAATCAGTCGAAGTGCATGTTATGTCTTATCTACCTTTTGAAATATATTGTTTTGTACAATAAACCTAATCATAAAAAAATATGACCAAATATGTACATGAATGTACTAGAAGATTTTAACGCATAAAATGAAAGGAATATTTTTGATAAATAGTATTAAAAATGTTTAATTTTTTTACAGATTTTTGATACTTTCTATCAAAATTACACTACTTGCATGTAAAAGTAACGAGAATATATTAAAATTATCATACTGATGTACGGAAATGTTCGAATCATTTCTCACAGTCTGATATTTTCTATGGTTCATAAAAATAAATACAATTTTAATCTATATATTTTTATGAAAAAATCATTATTTAACGAAAGAATTACGAGTAGTACTCTTAATAAATCATATGTTCTTTATTATATATTTTTTATAAAGTGTTAACATACTTTGTCTGGACGACGAAGCTTCGGTTTGTTGTCGGATTGTATCTAGGTTTACACATGCAATTATTTATACATTTATTATACGTTTTAAAATTAATTTAAGTTTTTTTTAAAACATATTTGTTAGACAATTTTTATTAGGGTTTCTTCTTTATATTATATTGTATTTACTTTATAATGAGTGAGTATATGTATGATATGAATGATTACAATACATTGACGTTTGAAACTTGTAGTAGTTATTTGCATAATAATATTACATGAAATATATAATTTATTTTTAACTACTTCTTGATAACAAGAATCTATCAACAGTGGCATAGCCAGGAGAGGTTTTGGGTGTTGTAACCCCCCCCCCCTATTGAGGATATATACATTGCTCCATGGCGGCTTTGACACTTAATCTGGCTCTGAATTTAGATATACATTGTATGAAGTTATGATGTTACAAAATTCTATGTTATGTGCCGGTCTAATTAACAATATCATCAAAATACGACATATATGTTTTTATGTAATATTTAAGTCATGATTACCAAGAAATAACCAATACAATGATAGTTATAAAGCAGTATCAAAAGGCAATGCGATATTCGAGATAACAAAAAAAAAAAGTTGTGGTCTATCAACTACATAAAGTCAAATGGCTAATTATTATGATTAGTGTGTAGAGTAGAAAAAACTTATTAGTAACTTTTTATACATAACCAATAATTTACAATTCATTAAATCAATCGAAATGCATGTTATGTCTTATGATAATAATTAATAAAAGATATCTATTTAAACGTAATAAATCACTGTGACTATCCAACACCCCAAATATGTTTAGTCGTTACGGCATTTATAGATAGGCATTTATTTAACAAAATCTAAACTTTTATTCATTTTTGAATTACTACACTATAATTTATCATAAAGCACATCTAAGAATACTTTTATGTTGCACACACCTCTCATCAATATATAAATATAATATCAACTTGAAAAGTAATATTATTTAATTGGTAATTGACTAGTCAACATTTTATTCAATACATCACCTATTTAATAGTAAAAAATAAAAATAGGTTTCTATTTAAATTTCAAAAGTTACCCTTAAAATCTGTTGTTTGAAATCATTTTTTTTATAATAAACTCAATTTTAAAAAATTATGTCCGAATATTTACATACATTTACTACAATTTTTCAACGTTAACAATGTATGGGAATTTGTCGATAAATAGTGATAAAATTGTTTAAATTCTGTACAGATTTTCGAAACTTTATATCAAAATTACACTATTTATATGTAAAAATAACGTGTATATATTAAAAGTATAATTCTGATGTATAGGAATATTTTGTTCATTTCTCGTGGTGTGATATTTCCTATGGTTTATAAAAATAAATACAATTTTAATCCGTAAATTTTTATGAAAAAATCATTATTTATTGAAAGAATTGTGCGTAGTATTCTTAATAAATCATATGTTCTTTATTATATATTTTTTATAAAGTGTTAACATACTTTGTCTGGACGACGAAGCTTCGTTTTCTTGTGAGATTGTAACTAGGTTTACACATGCAATTATTTATACATTTATTATACGTTTTAAAATTAATTTTAGCTATTTATTTTTATTTATTGATAAAACATATATTTATATACAGGCTGATTATTTTGTCATAACCCACTCAATAACTTACAGCATAAATATTATTTAAACATTTTTTTTTTTTTTTGTTACCTTTAGTTACATATTATTCATGAATTATTAACTGTGAAATACATTCTAAATTCATCTCTTATGCCTTGTAAGGGTGTCAACTTTTTTTATGAGATATAAACATTTAAAGTTTCAAATTTTAGAGTTAATACACATGTATAATACACACGGGATTATAAATACAGGTAGAAAATTGGTTTTTTATGACGTCGATATTAGCAGGTACTCAGCATTGTTATTATCAATTGTAGTAAGGCACATTGTTATGAGTTTATAAATACTGGCAATAATTTTTGTGTTGCCAGTTAGTGGTAGTTAGTGAAAGTATATCTATTGATTGTTATAATTGATAATAAACATTCTGTGATTGTAACGGCGATGTCATAAAAACACAAGTAGCTACTTGTATTAATAATTCCTTGTGTATTATACAATGTGTATGTATATTAACTCAAAAATTGGAAATTTGAAATGTTTATATCTAATAAACGAATAAAGTTATATTAAAAATTCAAATGTCATTAATTATTAAATTAAAAACTCGAACATTTTATTAAATACAAAATATGTGTTCCCGTTTAAAATAACAAAGTAGACACCTTCACTAGACATTGGGGATGAACTTAAAAAGTATTGCATAGTTAATAATTCAAGAATAATGTGTAACTAGATATAGCCAAAAAAAAAAATGTTTAAATTATTTTTATTCTGCAAGTAATTGATTGGGTTATGATAAACATTCACTCTGTGTATATGTTTATATACAATCTACACATATGCATACTATATGTAATTTTATCTTGGTACAAAGCTGAGAAATTATTGGTTTTATCATGACGTGTTTTTACTTTTATATATGTCCATGAATATCCTCAGCTCTCACTGGACTGATTATTTTGGTTCAAGTAACAAAAGAATTCGATTTCAATTTAGTTGAAGTTTCNATAAGAATCCGATTTTAATCTAGTTGAAGTTTTAAGCACCGAATATTAAAAAAAATTCCCTCAATTTAAGACATTTAAAAGAATATCCCAAAAATACATTACCGTAAAAAATTAGGGTAACGTAAAATAAAATAAAAAAATTTTTTCTACATTTTGAAAATTCCATTACTTTTTTTTAACATACTGATCCTAATGAAATGTTAACAGACTATACTAGAGACAACAAAACATTCTTTTGATATGTTTTTTATGATAATTCAAAGAACAAATTATGTACAGGAAGTGTTTGATAAAGATATTTCTTGAATGCAATTACATTTTATAATACTCAATTTTTGATAATGTTCCGGAATATTTAATAAATTTCAACGAATATTAAATTATAGCTTTTGAAGTATACTGTAATATTAAAATGAAAAAATTATTCCGACAATTATACTTTTATGAAAAATCGTATTGTATGAATCATTTAAAATGATTCGTTATTGAATAAATATGTTTACGTATTCTAACATAATACAGTTGGGATCGACTATAAAATATTGATATGATGTCGTTTTTTTTTTTGCAAAATTTTATTTTGATATTGTTTTGAAATATCGCGGTATTTTCGATATTAATTTAAATGGGTTTATTAAAATAGAATTTTATATTTAATTTAATTTTTTTATTGACATTTTGCGACATGCGTATCATTCCAATAATTAGACATTCCTATAATGTGGTACTAACATAATTATTAACTAACTGACGAAAATGTTCAATAATCGTATTATCACAATAAAATATTGATATATTTCGATATCACAATCAAATGTCCGAAAATTTGAAACGATATCGTTGACTTTTGTTTGAACCCTGATTATCAATTTTATGTCGTATTATACAAATCATTAAAAATTATTCGTTATTGAATAAATATGTTTTCATATTATTATAACTAATACAGTTGGGATTGGCTATAGAATATTGATATAATTCCGCCNAAATATGTTTTCATATTATTATAACTAATACAGTTGGGATTGGCTATAGAATATTGATATAATTCCGCCTTTTTTTTTTTGGTAAACTTTTATATCAATATTGTTTTAAAATATCGTGATATTTACGATATTAATTTAAATGGGTTCATAAAAAATAAAATTTAATGTTTAATTTAAATTTTATATGGACATTTTCCAACATGATGGTTTATTCCAAATTTTAAACATTCCTATAATGCAGTACTAACATGATTATTAACTAATTAACGAAAATATTCAAAAATTTGAAACGATATCGATGAATACCCTTATAATATAAGTATATACATAAATTTATTATATACCTACAATGTCAATACGAATGCATGTTTATTAATATTATGTTTTATTTTAACTAATATAATTTTAATATATATAGGCTGTCCACTAAAGAAACCGGATAATTGTTAAGAACAATGAGAAAAATAAAATCACACTTCCTTACTTAATAAATACCATATATAATGTATTTTACCTAAGTCTTTACAATTCTGACAAAATACATTACTGAACTTCGAGACTAAATTGGAATTATATCCACATGTTGCACAGCCTTTAAATAGTAAATTTATTATTATTTATGGTATAATAACAATGTTTTGATAGTTAAAAAGTTGATCAAATTATAACTTTATTAATTTTTAACTTAGTGTTTTAGTTACTTAAATATAAGACAATATATATTTATATATTATTATAGGTTATAATTATTTAATTTATACTTACTTAAATATCTTCCTATATCAAAACAAAATATAAACTTGAATTTAAGTTACACTGAATATTTGTTATTATGAACCACTAAGATACTAACTTTTTTATCTTTACTAGTAAGCTTTTTACTTTTTGAAGAAATTAAAATTAAAGAGCAAACATTGAACTACACATTATGTATGTCATTGAATCTATTATTTAGATGTGTAGCTCGCGATTATATAGTATAGTTTATTAGATTGTATGTTTGATAAATAAAATATAATTAATATTACTACTGCGAATAGCTTGTGAAAATTAAGCTCACTCTACATTCAGTCACGGAGAAGAATACTATTGTTGATTCTTTATATTATTTTTCAACGTTAGACAATATTTCAAAAGAATATATAGAAATTCTATAGAAAGAAATGAGTTAAAAAAAAAAAGAAAAGTACCTTTTATCTAAACAGTTACATAATAATTTGAAATATATTACAGAGTATAACGTTCATGAATCCTCCTTCAAGGATTATAAAGGCGATAACCATTGTTATAATAACACATAAGAAACACAATAAACTACACTAAATATATGCGATAGACCAAGTGTCCTATTCTTAAAGCTATTAAAAAAGTAATAGAGAATATTATTCGATTTAAATTTACAAAATAAATTATACATGTTGTTGGTGAATTTAGATATCTTATTTAATATCATAAATAATATTACTAAATATGATATCTTTTTTGCAAATCAAACATGTCCAATTGAAAGTTTTACAACTGCTACAATATAAGTGACAACACAGAGTACTTTGCTGTAATCCTGTTGTAGTTCCACAAGAAGCACATCCTATAAAATATTAAATAAGAAAATACTTATAAATTCTATATATGTTTAAAAGGAATAATTATTTAGATTATACTTACTTAATATATCGTTTCCTATAATCAAAAGAAAATATGAACCTGAATTAAAATTACACTGAAGAAATGAAACTTAGTTTAAACGTTGTTCTTTTAATCAAATATCAAAAGTATAAAATATTAAATTTTATAATTAATTAATCGTCTTATCCTTTTTAATTAGAATTAATTAACTAAAGACCATAATACCATCACTTGATTGCCAATATTAAATAAATTTTTATCAATATCAATCTCATATTTAAGCAGTTTTATATAAATTCAAATTTTTTCAAAATACATATAAATTTAATTAAATTCATGAAAAAAGAATGTAACACCCAGTTTAAGTTAAGTATAGTTTTTCATTTTTAATAGGTTGTCAATAGACATAAAAAGGATTTTTTTTTCTAAAACTCATTTATGCATAAAAAAACATTGATTGAAAAGCACAGGATAAAAATTGCTTGGAATTAGAAGATTTATTAATATTAAACCTTTTAGCTTTGATACGAAGCTGAGAAGGTAATAATTTTACAATGATGTGTTTTTTTATTTTTATTATTTGTGTCTGTTACCACTTTTTTCAGCTCTCACCGAACCGATTTCTTTCAACAATATGTCAAAAGATTACAAATCATATCTAGCCGAAGACATATGTCGCTTTTTTCAAGTTTTAAGGGTAATATTACCTCTAAAAATTAAAATAATTGCCCCCGTTCCCCGTAAATGAGGGAAATCTCAAAAAAAAAAAATACATATTTAAAAATGGCTAATTTTCGACATTTTTTCTTATAACTTATAGTAATTTAAATATTTACATACATATATCACTGAACAGAAGTAATTAAAATTAGCGGTTCAAGTAAAATATAACGCAGAATGAAAAGCGACACTGAGGCGGAAGAGTTGATTGACGTAGACGTCGTCGGTCCGTATCGTGCGGTGTCACGAATGTGTTACTACACAGCGTATTATGGCAGTGGGTATTCGACGCTAGGCATTTGTTGGACTTTGCACCAAACTATAACGCGTGTGTGTAATGGTCCGGTTTATAGTGGGCCGGTGGCTGAGAAGGAGCTGGTACGACCGCGGGATGTCAAACCGTTGACATCGTGACGGTCGTGTCACATCTCATACTAATTTAATTGCTATAACAAATATTTATTCATTAATTATTCTTCTGTCATAAAAAAAAGAAGAAGAAGTGTATAAAGGATATAATGATGATTGACTATGTATGTGATATTAATACTTTTATCATAAAAAAAAGAATGGTAAAAAGAAACATATAATTGGCTATATATGTGATATTTATTTTTTTATAATTAAGAAAGAGGAATAATAATAGAATGTAGATGTTATAAAAAGATGTTATGGTTAACAGATTGTTGAAGTACGTTTAGCTACAAGGTGAAAATATAGTGTACAATATATATATCCATGAAATCTTTATTAAAATACTACCACCACGCGTGGTTTGTCGTAAAAAGTAAATTGAAGGAAAATTATATTCGGATGATTCACACCTGAGTCATATTAATTCTACAATGAAATGTGCAATGATTACGGAGGAGGATTTTACGACTCTTAATATTTATTGGTCATGCTATATGAATGGGAAACAGCGTGTGTTCATGTAATATGCTACTGTCCAATTGTTGGGCGCCAAGCCTTAATGGCTGAATTATTTTTTTTATGTGGTTGTATAATACAAGTTAAAACATCTACGTTGAACGCGTACTATTATGATCCGAATGGTGAGAAAGTAGTTATTAATAACTTTTCAAATTATCCACCTTTAACAATTCTATTATTCCCTCGATAAAAGTTATTCTTGATTTATCTTAAGTCTACCCTTAATTTTATGACATGCTTAGAAATATAATTTCTTACCTTGTGTCCAGCTAGCTTGATTGTTTAATACGTAAAAGATATATATGTGAAGAGAGCACTGACTTTTATTTACTTATTAATTTTTGTAAAATTATGCAAATTATTAAACTTGAGATATTACTTCACTGTAATTCCTTTCTATACTTGGTGTCTGAGTATATATGTTACTTTATATTTTAAAATAAGAAAAATTATATAACCAGATAGCTTATGAGAACCAATCCCTAGTGACACGTTATAAACTATTGTTTTACGAATAGTTTTAACCGCTAGATGTGCTAGGGTAATGACTTCAACAAACTATCAATATTTTATGAAATTGTGTATTTGATATGAGAGTCGACAGAGTTAGAGACAGGGTGGCTACACCATCGGAGATTACTCTCGTCGATGCACAGACCTTACAGAGTCAAAAACTGCTTGCCGAAAAGAACGTAATGGAATATGAGAATCAATCCCTAGTGACACGTCACAAATTATTGTTTTACCAATAGTTTCAACCGCTAGATGTGCTAAGGTAGATTTTCGAAATGCACTTATTAAATAGACACTTCAATTGAAGAATTAAAAAATTCTTAATTGAAACAACTCACAAAATATAAAATAAAAATTTAATGTGTTTTAATATTTTATAAATATTCAAAACTAAAAACAAAATAAAAAGATAAAAAGTTAAGTTATTCTTTCAAAATGACATTACTTATGAGAGATTTAGATAATAAACACCAAGTGTAAAAAAAGATTCTAAGTCAGAGAGAGCACAATCGCGAAACGGTCTGGTGCAGGAACGCTTCATGACCAGATTTTTAAAAAAAAAATAAGGTGACGAATGAGCTAGAAATTGCTCTTTTATAGGCTTGTTTTATGAGGGGGAGAATTAGTTTAATTTGCACAATGCTTCTCATTGGCTAGTTAATTAATTTAGAGAGATCTATGCGCAATCTATTGTTCTAATAATTTGCGTTAATATTTCATACATGTATTGGTGTTTTTATATCTATCATCTCTCATTATAATGCGGTTTATTAAAAAAAATCATTAGTATAAAAATATAAATAAAATAAAATTATAAGTGCTAAGTATCTATTACACTTCTAAATAAAAAACTACTAATCAGGAAACAAAAGGAAATACGAGTTTATTTTGCATTAGTACAATTCACCAAATTCATGAAATTAAACACTATCTGTAGATTTGTATCGATGCATTTTTTGTGATAGTGATTTAATCACTGTCAGATATCATGTATACTGGACTCAACTATGCCATGTCGTCACTAAGCCGCGACACCACTGTGATGGGTTTTTTAATTTTCTAGTGATTCATCTATTGTTTAGGAATTATATAAAATGTTAGTTCATATTTCAAAGTTATTTTATTAATTCATGGATTGTGAAAATATCGACTTCGATAATAACTTTTAACTAGTGTTTCACAAATTATTAATAATTTAATATAATGACCACAAAGAAAAGTGTAAGTATAATTTATTAGCTTCGACGCATAACCGAAAAGCAACAGATTTTATTTTCCCGTTTTTTTTTTCGTGCTATATACTACTATTTTCGATTCTATTTAACCGATTTTGCTCAAAATTATTAAAATGTTACGTCAAAAGATCACAGATCGCAAATATTTATGATTTTTAATTTTAGAACACATATTTGATATATCATGAGTTCCTTCTGCATTTTTACAACAAAAACTCGGATTACGAAAATTGACTGTAGTTGATTTTTTGTAATCTTCCTGATTACCTACGTCCTATAAAGTAAATCAAAAAATGTTATTTTTGTATAAAAAGTCACTGTTTTTCGTGTTGTTATTTTTACTTAAAACTGTAATCACTTTTTGAATACCTTGTTTCCCTTTTCCTTTAAGTATATATTTTTTTGAAAATTTAACCATTAATCTGTCGACTTTAAATAGCTAATTAAAATAGGTTCAAAATAGTTAATTATTCATGAAGAGTGAACCTTTCAACTTAACTTTCGAAAATGTTGCTGAAATACTAGAAAACTCAAACATATGTTAAGTTATAGCTTATGTCACATACTAAAAATTCAAAAAAAAATTGTCCCGGCGACTTATCTTCTATATATAAATGGTGCCATATAACCGTTTTTTGTGTTATTTATGTATTTTATTCACCGTCAGATATCATCTATACTAGTCCCAAATTGCAACATTCCAGCATTGGCACGACCTGGTTTTTTTATTTGTTATTTTGCCGGTATAATAATTGGAAATAATTAAATTGTTATTTTATAAATTAGGTATAGATATTTTCTAAACACTAATAATATCTATATTTATAGGCTTGTTTATTTAATTTCGCGTACTTCCATTTGGACTTAAAAATGCACCCAGGATTTTATACAGATCTATGTGGACGATATTCTAATATTTTTGGTTAGCGTAGAAAACATTTGTACCACCTCAGTAAATATCTGGACGCCTAGAACAACATGATATAACATGCCAAATAAAAAAATATGAAACTGAGTTATCAAAAATTTTCTTTTTTGAGACATCTAGTACATGAGAAGGGCATTGATTAAGAACTCGAGTCCTTACTCGCCATAAGAATCCCACGCAATTTCAGAAATACACGCAAATTTTTAAGGTTGTAAATGTCAGTTCGTCGACAATTACGAAGGCAGTATAGACCCTCTTACCAAACTACTAAAAAACGAGGAAAACTAGTCGTACTTCAACACACAGCAAAATGCATTTCAGCACATCAAAAAGTAATGTGTGACTCACTGCTTCTTATTACCTCAGACTAAAAACGATCCCGGCGAAATTAATGCCAAGGCAGTATTATTTCAGCACAGCAACGATGAGGGCAAAAGGAATATCGTCGCTTACTCGAGTAAAAATTTATCAGACGTGTAAAAACGATACGCCGCTGTTGAATATTTACAGATATATGAGTGACAAACAAATTCAGGTCATTTTTATAATATGCTTCCTTTAAATTTTATGCAGACAGCGCCGCGTCGATTTACTTACATAATTCGAGTATCAATAACAGTAAATTAACCAGGTGAGCACTACATCTAAATAACTTAAATTTCACTACATCACACATGTCCGGCAACCACAACGACAAACATGTTATCACAATACCCAATAAAGGGTCCCATGTCGACGGCAATTCAATACAGACACCTAAAACACAACCGCCTCCTCGCACTGCCACTCGTGATAACATTGAAGTATATTGGCGTTAACACGCAGATATACTACCCGTGCGCAAATCCTGTAGAATGTAGAAACCAAAAGTTAAAGACTGTAACGAGCAAACTGACTACTCCTCGTCCGTTCTCGTTCTGGAATTGGAGGGAAACGGCTGGGTGATTAATTAGTACAACACATAAAGCCAAAATCACCAACGATGATGTAAACATTAAGCCACAAAGATCACCACCACGCCACCGATGGGTCACATCAAAACAAAATGCACGCGTTCGGCGCTGTCCCTCGTGACAGCGTTGGGAGTACTGACCCTAACCGCCATAGCCGCAATTTCTAAGCAAATAATAATTTCAATCGCCCGTCCTTCCGCACTGTGAGGAATTATGTTCCATCCACCCAGTCCTCCCTGACTTTTCTAGTCATACAAAATTTGTATTTTTATCATTATAATTAACTATGTTTAAAAAAATATTTTTCTAAACAAAAACCATTCTTGGACTACATATTTTTACGTTTGTGGTTAATTTTGATAAATTTATTGGTTTATCCGTTTTAAGTATATAATTTCTATAAATAATTTATTAATCAATTTTACTTAAAACTAAATTAAAAATGTATACATTAATTTTGATAAGTTTACTATGTCTTAAAATATGTATTTAATGAAATCCTGTTAAAATATTTAAAAAATCATTTTAAATCGTATTAAAAAGCTGTATCGTGCAACTTTTTTAATATTAATAATATCTGGATACTACTAGGATGGATTTTTTATATTTAAAGTATCATTGAAAAAACAAGATGGGGGAGTGAAAATATGCGCATTAAAATAAAAATTGAGAGTTAAAACAATTCGTAATACAGTTATATAATAAAAAACAACATATGAATGCAATAAATATAATTTAGATAAATTAAATATATGTAATATATATATGTATAATTATAAAAATCATTGCTTTTGAGGGCATAACTAAGTATTTAATTAAATAATTACTGCTGTTTTATTATTTAAAGAAAAATGTTTATAAAAATCATATAACATGCCAGAGTAAACTTGTAAAATATGTTCTATCATAATAAAAATAAATTTTTCAGTAATTAAATCAAGTGAGAAAGATCACAACTACGTCCCGACTAGCCACATTAAATAGCGCTCAGCAGTGTCCCTTGTCCCAGCGACCAGACTACGAGGGGCACCCACTGCCCCAGCCGCTCTTTTCAGGTGAATAATAACTTTATCCGCCCATATTCTTAATCCCTTCTACAGGGAAAAAATATATAATATAATACTAAAAATAAATGTATGAATAATTCAATATCTTACCAATTGTGTTACCTGTTCCATGTACTATTAAAAAAAATTACAATTAATTTTAATATTCATTAATATAACATTATTATTTCATTTGTTTATTTACAAAAGGCTTATTTTAATACAAAAAAGCTTTGAGTTAAATCGCATTCATCGAATTATGATGATTCAAAAATTTTATTTATCTATGAAAAATATGTTATAAAATACAATTGTTTATAGTGTGATTAATTAAATATACTACTCTCTATTTTTCGTTGAATAATTATTTGTTGTTGAAATGTATAGATAAAATTTAATTTAAACTTATAAATATTTTAAATATCAAGCTTATTGTAAGAAAAAAATAATCCATAGTGTATATTAACTGTGTAACTTCCGAAAGTTAAATGAAACACTACAATTAATTTAGATGATGATACAAGTGTTAAGCATAAGGAATAAGAAATTAAATTTTTTTTTGTGAAACAGTTCATAAAAAAAAAATTATATATAATAATTGAATTTTTTAAGATATTACGTAAGATATAGTTNGAGAAAAAGTGGTAACAGACACAAAAAATAAAAATAAATAAATATAGTTTAAAAAAACTAAAAAACACGCTTTTAAAGCACATCGAACTAAAAAGTTAAAAATAACTTTTATAATAAGCTTAAAACAATAATGTACGAAAAGTACTAGTATTATTGTGATAAAAGCGTGGGTGCTTTGTGCCATATTTTTCGTATATTGAGCGCCCGACGCTTTTATCACAATAATACCAGTACTTTTCGCACATTGTTGTTTTAAGCTTATTATAAAAGTTATTTTTAACTTTTTAGTTCGATGTGCTTTAAAAGCGTGTTTTTTAGTTTTTTTAAACTATATTTATTTATTTTTATTTTTTGTGTCTGTTACCACTTTTTCTCAGCTCTCACTGTACCGATTTCTTTCGACTAGCCACATCAAATTAATATAGTGTCCCAGACTACGGGGGGCACCCACTGCCCCAGCCGCTCATTTCAGGTAAATAATAATTTTATCCACTCATATTCTTAATTCCTTCTACAGGGAAAAAATATATAATATAATACTAAAAATAAATGTATGAATCATTAAATATCTTACCATTTGTGCTACCTGCTCCATGTACTATTAAAAAAAATTACAATTAATTTTAATATTCATTAATATAAAATTATTATTTAATTTGTTTATTTACAAAAGGCTTATTTTAACACAAAAACACTTTGAATTAAATTGCATTCATCGAATTATGGTGATTCAAAAGTTTTATTTATCTATGAAAAATATGTTATAAAATACAATTGTTTATAGTGTGATTAATTAAATATATTACTCTCTATTTTTCGTTGAATAATTATTTGTTGTTGAAATGTATAGATAAAATTTAATTTAAACTTTTAAATATCAAGCTTATTGTAAGAAAAAAAAAATCCATAGTGTATATTAACTGTGTAACTTCCGAAAGTTAAATGAAACACTACAATTATTTTTAGATGATGATACAAGTGTTAAGCATAAGGAATAAAAAAATTTTTTTTTGTGAAACAGTTCATTAAAAAAAAATTATATATAATAATTTAATTTTTTAAGATATTACGTAAGGATATAGTTAACAGATAACTCTGTATTTAATAAATCATACTCTAGAAGGTATTGGTTTTATTATGATGTGTTTTTTTTTTTATTGTGTCTTTTACCACTTTTTCTCAGCTCTCACCGGACCAATTTCTTTCAACGATATGTCAAAAGATCACAAATCGTATCTAGTCGACGACAATACCCTAAAAAATTGAAAAAANACCAATTTCTTTCAACGATATGTCAAAAGATCACAAATCGTATCTAGTCGACGACAATACCCTAAAAAATTGAAAAAATTTCCCTCGTTCCCCGTAAATGAAAGTTTAAAAAGTAGAAACTTTTTCAACTTAATTTTTGAAAGTGTTCTGGAAATACTGACACTTTTATATATATCTTAAATTAAAGCTAATGTAATATACTTTATTATGGAAAAAAAAAAATTCAGATTTTATTTTGTCTTTACGGTTGGGTTTAGCATACCAAATGCTATTTTTATGTGAAAATTCTCGATTTTGTATTTTACATTTTTAACTTTATAATGCTATAACTTATTGAAAAGTGTATAGATCAATACAATTTTTTGTAGAGAAATAATATTTATATAATTCTTTTTTTTTTTAATCAGACCATTTACATTTTTATATTTATATATTATAAATCAAGATATAAATAAGGGAATAGCATATCTTGTAGCTTTTGGAATAATCCACAATTTTTTTTAAATTAAACACTATCTAAAGATTTGTATTGAAACGTTTGTTATGATAGTGATTTTAATAACTGTCAGATATCATCATACTTGATCCAACTATGCTACGTCACCACTGTGCCGCGACGGCCCTTTGCTGGGTTTTTATTAATTGTATTTATAAAATGAGTTGCATTTGTAAAATTAAAACTCTAACTGTTGATTGAAGTATAAATTATTTTTCACATTTTTATATAAGTATTATAGATATAAATAAAAATAAAAATAAAAATATTTTAAAGTAAATCAAGTATAAATTTAAATTAAAATAATTTTTTTTCTTTCATATTGATTACATTTGTGTATCTTAGTGTCACATTTTTATTGAAAGATGATTGTAATAAAATTGTTTAACCATATATATGTTAAGAGTATAAAATTCATTAATTTGAAAAAGCATAATATTTATAAAATGTTAGAATTACCTTCTGGTACATAAAAAAAACAGGAAGATAATAAAGTAACGAATAAAATGAGCATCGTCTAAAAAAATTGAATACAATAACATTTTTAATTATGATGCACTAAATTAATTAAAACATACCATTTTTTTTTTAACGTGGAATTTTTCTAAAATAGCAATAAACTGTACACAATAATTTAAACTTTAAATGAAGTTACTCTGACTTCAGCTTATATTTTTTTAGTTAAATTAATATATATATACAATTGTACAAACAATCATATTAAAATAAATTATTGTTATTAATAATATTCATGACAAAATGGTAATACAGTGGAGAGCGGGGTAATTTGACTAAGATGGAGCAAGATCTTCTTGAATTTAAAAATATATGTTAGGTTTGCGAACTATCTATGAAATATACGTGTATACATATATTAGTATGAAATTAAAATATATTAGCCAAACAATGACAAATTTTTCGAAAATAATTTTAATTTACACAGGTGTTAGTTTTACGGCATATGGTTTTAACTAGAGTTTGAATTAATAAATCAACTATTTTGTCTTTTAATAAAATAGCTAAAGAAAAACATCACTAATAAAAACCATTTAAGATTTTAAGTCTTAGCTAAATTAGTGGTGGTAATAAGAAATGATGATGAACTGAATAAAAGGGATAAAATTATGGAATGAGTAAATATCGATAACTCGGGATTGAAAAGTATTAATTTATAAATTATGTTAAATATCTTTTAAAATTATATAATATATCTTAATGGTTTATTACGCAATAGATTATTTGAATTTCGAAAGCATAGGTTAAATTGTACTTACCATATGTCTTATATCACGCTATAATATTTTTAGTAATTCAATGTTAATTCTGATATTAAATGCATATACGTACGGATAACAGTATACGTCATATAGTTAATAGAATTACTCAAGAAAACGATTAAAATTTTAAATAATACAATTGATTTACACAAAATTTATGACTAATTTTATTTTTAAAAGATTCTAAACACTATTTTTTTATTAGAAATATAATTTCATGATATGTCATTATTTAATTTTTTACCTTTATTGAATAAATATTTTTTTGTGAGAGACATTTTATTAAGAAATCGACACCAATATTTCTTAAATCTTCCTCTGGCTCGGCCAAAATAAGATTCAAAAATATTTATATTTATGTAAAAATTTTATTAAGGTGGTATTGTGATGGTCCAATGTATTCTGGCGCTTAGGCGGATGAAAGGATGCGGCACAATAATCACAATTACAAAAATTAAACACTAAAAATATATTCGTAAGTTTCATTACGCTGTCCGCCGGCATAATGTTCGTTAGAACAAATACATTAAGCTCAAAGACTAGCTACCCAATATATATAGGCTTACAAATTTATTCTAACCTAATATACCTAATTCTAGAATAATATCTAGTTAGTGTATAGTGTCTAGTGATTTATAACTAAATGGTAGAAATAATTTTAAATTCTGCTGTCATTGAAAATAATCAATTTTCCGAAGAATATTCATACGAATCAGCTCTACTAGATGTACTATTTTTTAGACGTGTGACGTAGTAATTATCGGTTAATTATAATGGAAATTGACTTTAATACTTAATATTAAATTTAGTTATTTAAAAAATATTATTTCTCTAAATTTTCTTTTCAATTCTGCTTTTTATAAATTATATGATATAGCATTAAATTCTTAATTCTTTACTATATTTAATGTACATTTTAGACAAGGAATAACTTGCAAAAACCTTAAATATATTAATGAAAAACCCTTACAAGACATTTGTCCAAAAGCCTGTTGCGGTCTACGAATTATATTAGAGCACCATTTAAAAAATTAGCAGGCAAACTTTGTTAGTGTGAGTTAACTAAATTAATTATAAGTCTTTTAACAGACCTTCATTATTGATAATTTCTTTAGGAAAAATCTAGTACCACTATTGCTAGTAAAAATAATGCATCAGAACCTTTAACTGTTTCAGAAATTTCTGAATACTCTGCTACAAGTTCAAATAATAGTAGTCCCATTTCTTTTATGAACCAAGTAATTTATAATTGAAACCTATATTAATTTTTAACAGTCATTTAAAAATACATATTTATTTCCTATTTTATAAAATTATTGTTTTCCTTTATTTTAAGATAAATATAGAAGAAATATCTGGTAAAGGAAATTTGATAATGTCATTTTATAAAAAAATATAAAGCTTAGTGATGAATTAAAGAAAATGATGACTGAAATAATTACTAAATACATGATACAGCATTAAGTATAAGGTTCTCATAAAATCATTAATAATATTTCTGATAGTATCATTAATATATTTAAATCTAAAGTTAAGGTTTGTAAAATTAAAAAATTTTGTATGAAAATTGGTACAATTTTAAATATATCTGTTTAATTGACTTTGACACGGCCACGACGTTGTCACCCGTTTGACACCCAGCGGTCGTGTCAGCTCCTTCTCAGCCTCCGCTTCACTGTAATCCGGACCGTTATACACACACGTTATCGTCGTGGTGTAAAGTCCAACAAATGCCTAGCGTCGAATACCCGCCGCAATAATACGCTGTGAAGTAATCTTCGTGACACCGATATCGTTGCTACTTTTTACCATCCGCAAGAACCGTGCATTTCACCGCAGTTACGAACATTCTACACCTACAGAGACTTGTGCCTTTACTTTATAATTGTGTAATTGAGGTTGTCAATATACGGCTTTCTAAACCTGAGAATTAAAAGTGGTGTATTTCTTTCTTTTTTTTTAATATCCCTCACGCGAGTTGGTGCAACATCCCCAACAACTTATAGGAAACATACTTCATTAGTGTGCCCGCACAAAAACTAAAGGGAATATTGTACCAAAAATATCATAATACATTGACAAAATAACGCAAACACAAATTGTAGTCTTTCATAAAAATAGTAAAAAAAGGTTCTCATGATAGTAACTTAGAACAAACATCTACTTAGACTACTTAGAGCAACTATAAGTAAATAATCAATAATATTAATTTTTACTAATAATTAGTAAAATAATATGGTTTATTTGTAGATAATAAAATTTTAATTAAAGTAAAAAAATTGCTTCAGTTTAACATTGAGCCTATAAATGAAGTCATTTTAAAATGGTAAGAGACTTGTGATATTTGTAGAGAATATCTGTTGTCTCCAAGTATTAACATTAATAATATTCTCGAAGAATGGCCTATGTACAAACAGTCGTTTGATCACAGTTTGGTAGTATTTTAATTATTCAAAATTCTTAAGTATTTTTATAAGTAGAATTGTATGTATATTTCAATTAATTATAGTAACTGAAAAATATGTTTACATGCTCAGGATTACAATTTTATTTATTCTGCGCTTAATGATTTTAAATTTATAAAAATATAGTTGTGTGTGTGTATGCCTTAGTTACAGTTAGGTTTATATTTCAATGATACTAATTACATAATTACTTTTTCTGTTAATTTAATTCTAGATTGATATTGATTTTGAATATATATATGCTTCAAAACGAAATTCATTGTTTGTTAATTGGGATCAATTTATTATTAAGATCATTCCGTTAATGATTAATTAAATAAAGGATAGAAATAGAAAATTATTACTTGAACGTTTAATAGAAATAAATAAAACTAATATTGATAAGACAATTTCTCACAATTTTTAATTTATCAAATAATAATATATTAATTTTTTTTACAGAAACCAGAAGTCTTTTAGTTTTAGATATAATAAATGCTTTACTAGTTCCAACTTCCAGATCCTATGAAAAAGATTCAGTTGAAAATAAGAGACACATTGTAAAAACATCTATTTCTGATGCTAGTAATTCGTTTTTATTAAAAGTGGCTTCAATGAATTATCTACATTTTCAAATCCAATTAAAATTTGATATCGCTTTAAAAAAAAAAAAAGTACAACCAATTATCTGTGTTGCTGAAACTAATTTTGGTGGTATCAATAATATTTATGTGTATTTTTTCAACACCTATTATAAATTTTCAAAATCATACGAGCATTAGATACATGCTTTAAAATTGTTCAAGTATTTGACTAACAGTACCTCATTTAATCTAGTTTAGTATGGACATTTATACAAACATTTATTTATGATTTTCACAATGATTGTGATATTAAAAGCTCTTTGCTAACTTCATTAATCTCTTATTTAAATATATAAGTTTTCATAATTTAACTATTACATTGTGCAATAATTTGAGATTGGGAACATGTCTCCTCATATAAAGCAAATTGAGTTAAAAATTATGGTAATAAATACATTTTTTTTAAGTATAAACTTTCACAAAAATCAAATTTAAAGGATTAAGAAAATAGGTTAAATAAGTTATTTTCCTTATTTTTAACATATTAATAATAAAAATAGTATTAATTTAAAATAATTTTTTTTTGTTCTTAATTATTTTTTTTTTATATGTAAATACTTATTTTTTAATAATAAGTAATAATATTAAAACTTAGAAGTGATAGAAAAAGTGTAAATGCACATTTAAACATTCCGAAAAGATGATTTAGAAAAGTATATTTTTGTTTCTGATGAAAGTTCCTTGTAGTCCAGTGTTTAAAACTTATAACTATGTTATAAGTAACAAAAATGTTTTATTAAAGGGCTTGATACAATATCAAGCTCTTTAAAATTTTATACGCGTTAAAAGTAAAGAAATATACAACTACTTTATATTACTTGAAGTGCTTGAGGATATATCCATGTTTGCAGTTGAGTTCTGACGTTTCGGAATTAACTGCAAACATGGATATATCTTCAAGCACTTCAAGCAATAAGACAATCCATGAAAGCTTTAACACATTTATACTTTATTTTATTTTTATAATATCTATATAAAAATTATAATATTAACTTATTGAATGTCAATTTCATACTAAATTTAATTACTATTATTATTATTTATTCATATATTATAATTATAAATCAAAAACTAATCAGAATAAAATAAAGGGAATAAGAGTTATTGTTGCTTTTGAAATAATCTACAAATTTCTTAAAATTAAACAATATCTACAGATTTGCATCGACCTGTTAAAATTTTATTTGGACCATTCGCTATTTAATAGTAAAAAAATAACAATAGGCAAATTTACCCTTAAAATCCACCCTTAGGTATAAAATTATAATGGCTCCTAAAAATTAATAAAACTTCAATCTAGTTAATTTTAATCTAATAAATTAATAATTCATTTTTAAA